CTATCTATCTATCTATCTATTCAAAAAACATTGGTGGAAGAGAACTGCCTCTGCGCCCTCAATAGCGGCCCAGTACTTCAACACCAAGCCTTTCTCAATATTGCAGAACAGTTGCAGTATTTTATTTCCACATTTTTTCCTTCAGAGCCTCAGTGGGAAAAAAGCAGTCTTTAATTGCCTTCATAACAGCATCAAGGATACTCATGCAGGTGCTAATAAAACAAGCTCCTCAGCTTAGAGTAGAGGTGGTGAATTAGTGTTGTAAGAAAGACCTCTGAGGATTTACTGGCAGAAGCAAAATGAAAGGTGTGGGAGGGAGAAGGTGCACTGAGGTTGACAGCCAGATGGAGTAGCACACATTAAATATAACAGCTTTTACTGTACAAACATTTCTCAGAAAGAAACATCACACAGGCTACTGCACACTCGAACTGTGGGTAGAAGTGGACCAGATTCTACTTTTTCTGATCTATTTTGACACCATGTCCAGAAAAAAATATATATATATTACACTGAACTAAGATGATCAGTGGAGGGAAAGTGATATTAGGAATGTTTCTTCATCAAAGGCAAAACCTTAGCCAGCACATGTCTAACAACAAAATATTGACATATAATGTAGCTCAAGATTTAAAAAAAAAGAAGTGGTTGGATAAAATAAAATGATTATACTGATTTAGACAATATTTTATATAATAAACCCAGCTATGAGCCAGTGAAGCTACATGATACTCCATGGACTACATTTCATTTCATTTGAGTGTTGGTGGCTTTATTATTGTTCTTTTGCACATGCAGGATCTGAGCTGAGAACGTACTGCTTGAAGTAAATCGACATTCCTGGCGATTCACTGACACAGAACAGACTAAACAGGGTGACCAGTTAATAGGTGTGATGTAGATGTTACGGTAATATAGCCAAATTTAAGTATTACCAAGGAAGTCCACTTCCACTAATAGTTTACGGTTTCACCTTTAAATATCTATTTTTATATACCAGATGGGTATAATAATCTCAGTCATGGGAATAACCTATCAAAGAAAGCTTTTAATCAGGGTGACTTGGTTATGGTAACAGCATTTTCTCCCACCTGCATGATTATGACATCTACTCTTCAAGATATTGGGCGTCCAAGCATTGAAGGGAAACGGTGACATTTGAGAGCGACCGATAACAGCAGTGGGTGGATGTTGCAGGTGAATGGCAGGCAGGGGGCAATTTATTGAGAGATAGGAAGGGTAGGGGGTTGGGTAGACCGGTGCAAAGATGTGTGGGCACATTGTGAGGCAAAAAGACATTAATTCAAGCAAAACCTATATACAGGGTGATCCAGTGAGGGCAGTTAAATCTCTTTTGCACAGGTGCCAATAAAAGCAAAGGCAAAAATCCAACAGTTAGACACATACAACTTACAAGATGGAGCAAAGGATAAGATTGAGAAAGGGTTGAAAGAAAGGGGCACACACATTAAACAAAACGTGAAACACAATACAATGCTGATGGATAAAACCAGGATTAAATAAAATCTGAACCCAACAGAGCGCTATGACACAATAGTGAGAGTGAAGTGTAGATGGTGTGGCGTGCATGTACTTTATTTCACTATAGTCCAGTACTGACAAGATTATTATGGTTTGGGTGGAAAGACATGATGGGTGGAGACAGAAAATCCTTTCACTCTGGTTTAGTTTATTATAACATTTTTCAATACGTACCATTTTTAGCCTGCAGACACAGCAACATGCACATGTGCTTTGTGTGCTTTGAGAAATGAAGGAGAAAATATGGGCTCTAAGAAAGGGGCTCTGGTATGTGGGAGGCGTGCGTGCTTTGTCTTCACCCACACTCAAACCTGTCAAACAAACACCACTCTTCTTCCACCCCCAACCTGCAGCAACCAATCGTGTTTCAGTACTATAAAACCCAATTTCTTGCCTCTTGCCCGGTCTTTCTCAAATAGGATTGTCTGGAACAAGGTGTTTAGTTATTGTATGTGGATTAAAATCTTGTGTACTCTAGGTTTGTTATGTACAATACATCAACAAGGCAATAGAAAAGTGCAACAATGCTTATTTGTTCTATATCATAATTTATTATTTGAATATTGTCTCAGATAGTTCCAATGATCACATGTTTGTTGACTTACACTGATTAACATCTTGCTGCAGGAATGTAAAACAAAAAAACTATAGGGAGGAAACAGAAATCCCTTTAATCTACTGAAACTCATAAGAAAAACATTTCCTGTAAGGCGTGAAAATCAGGGATCTTGGTCACTCAATGTCATCGCCAAGAAAAAAGGCTGACTTTGAGATCTACATGATTTTAGTGTCTTGTTACCCTTTTCTGAAAGAATACAAATGAGCCTCATTTAAGAGATCCTTTAAAAGAAGTCAACTGCATAGACCAAACACAGCAGTGGACCTTGGTGTCACCAAGGTCTTGTTATCAGCTCCCTTGCAGACATCCCACCTCTTCAGCTAATCATGTTAGACAGCGCTCTGGGAATTAGTCTTAAATTCTACCACTGTGCTTCATCTCACTTCACATCCTAAGATTCCAGGATCTTTTTAAAGCGTGAGATATCTCTCACATATGGTAATAATATGGCCTTAAAAATGTATTATAAATCTTATCCCTTTAATCCTCCTTCATCTCAAGAAAGCAGGATATGCTATTTAAGAGGAAGATTGTGGTATTTCTTTAATTTTAAGGAATGGATTATTTAGGCTTATTGCCAGTGGGCAGAGAACACTGACACCAGTCATCACAACAGGAAGACTGTGGGAAATTGAGGAGGACAGTGACTTCCTGGAAAAGAGCAAGAATCAGCCAATAATGTCCACAGCCAATACTGCCAGGTGAAAGGATGTGTTGAAGCAAACACTGTGCAACAGGAAGAAGAGAGATAATTACTGGCCATGTTATTTATATTACATAAGTACCCAGGGGGTAAAGCATTCTGTTTTAAAGAGAAATAGCTGTTATTCATTAAGTTTATTGTATCAAGAGTACAACAGTCCAGAGCCATGTTCTTCAAATGTGGCTTAACAAATTAAGGCTAACATGCTGTTATCATCCTAAAGTAATCCTGTTAATTCTCATCTAGTTAATTTGGTTCTTTGAAAGCAGTTTAAGCATTGATTTGTTAGTCCTGGATGGAGTTATCTGAAGAAACAGTGGGTAGAGAGTTGAAACCATGATCAGTGATTGTCTAAGTGCTGATCAAATTATTGCAGGTACATGAGGTAGGTGTGTTGGGAATCCTCCCCAGCATGCATTGAGGCAATAGATTCATGGACATAAGTCCCATTTTATGTGTGCATTGCATTGTTACACTACAGATGTCATTTTGCTCTACACTGTGCTCTTCAATGTTTCCACACTTTAATCAGTGTCAAACACATAAGTGAATATGCTTAAACTACGAGTAATAGTGCTGCATAATTGGTGCGGTCCTCCCCAATGGATATGCGAGAGACTTTTAAGTGATAATGACAGCTAGGAAAATGAACCATTACTAAAATCTCTTTAAAAGCAGATTTGATTGCCACAATGCAAAAGTTTTAGTGTCCGAATTCTATTCCTGTTTAAATATCAGATTAGTTATGTTTTGGCTCCACTTGTCTTTTGACAGTCTTTGAGTTGAGTTTATGTCTTTTTACTATAATATCTCAAACTACATTTGGACTGATATTTTTGTTTACTAGCTTTTATTTATTTTTATTTATACAGATACAGATAATTTGTTATTATGAAAATTAAACTGTGGTATTTACACCAACAGGTCATAATGATTTCTCAATAACATGCATGTTCTCATCTAAATCATTATTATATCAAACGTCTTTCATGATATATCTAAAGTTATGTTCACACTGCAAGCCTTAGCACTCAATCAGATCAGATTTTTTTCTGTTTGGCTGTTCACATTAAACTGTCTATAAGCCTATAAGG